TCAGTTTCCGGATGAATTGAAGTCGAATTGGAAAGAAGGAATATAGTTCTAGAAGCTTAAGCGGAGAGAACTTGACCAGAATTTAACTTTTGAGTAAACGGCTCCGGAATAAGTTTTGGATGATGTCAGTAGCTTCGTATGGTGATTTTGGACTTGGGTGTGTGTTCGGATTTGGATCTGGAGGCCCGTAGGGTAATTTGAGGCATTTCGGTGAAAATTGGAAAACTTGAAGTTTGGAAAATGGAGAGGTTTGACCCATAGTTGACTTTTGTGTTATCGAGGTCAGAATGCGATTACGAAAGTTGGAACAACTCCGTTATGTCATTTGGGACTTACCTGCAAAATTTGGTGTCATTTGGAGTTGATTTGATGTGTTTCAGATGCTTGGTTGCAATTCTAGAGATTCTTGAAGTTCATAGTGATTTTCATACGTTTGGGCATCTGATTCGTGGGTTTAGCGTTGTTTGACGTGATTTGAGAGTGGGGCTAAGTTCGTATGATGTTATGGGATGTGTTGGTAAATGGTTGAGGTTCTAGGGGCCTCAGATGAGTTTCGAGTGAGTTTTGAGCGAGTCCGGACATTTCAGAACTTAGAAAATGGTTTTGATGCTTAAATCTTTACTTGGGGGGCAGAAGTCTTACCGCTGAGGCGGTGGGATTACTGATCACAGCAGACTCAACCTAAGGATGAGTGGGCGTTAATACCTTTACCCAATAGCGATATCGGGGTCGATTTTCCACTGGGAACTTCAAATTGGAGTCGAGTATTTGTATGGTCTAGGATAGTGTTTTAGCTCATAATTGATCTTCTAACATTTTTGGTTTTCTTTTGTTTAAGAGCTACAATTTATCAACTACAGTTGTAAAACTAGGTTATGCTAAAATTACGATTCTATGTTGTATGCAAGATAGATAAAAGCACTAGGGATGCAACATTTACCTAGGTGGTCCACTAACGGGTAGAAATTCCTAATGCCAGAATGACAAATATGGGGCTTATGCTATAACCGTTGCACCTTTTACACACACTCTAACACCTCTAGCAACTTCAGGCATTGTTCGGGGGAGGGGGGTGTTTTTACTTTGGAATACTAATTAGTAATATTAGGTTCGAGCCTTGTGGATAAAAAAATTGTGTTAAAATGTGTTCTCCCTTTTAATAGGGTTTACGCAGTATAAATCCAAATTAATCGGAATCGCAATACAAAAATCAAACAGGAGTAGAAAACAAAGAGAAATTTGGGGCTTAAATCCTTTGCTTAGTTGCTCGAACCTTCGGCCACCCCTGAGTAAAAGTCATTTTGTCCATTTAGGGTGTGTTTGGTATGAAAGAAAATATTTTTCAATTTTTCCTCGCTTGGTTAGCCTAAATGTTTTGGGAAATATTTTCCTCCAATTGGAGGAAAATGCTTTCCCTATCAAGAGAATGGAAAATATTTTCCAAAACTCATTCTCAACCTTCCCACCCTATTCCCCATCTCCACCAACCCCCACCAATCCAACCCCACACCCCNTTCTTTTCATTTTATAGATAGATTTTTTTCTTCATTTCAACAAATGAGTATTTTGTTTTTCATGATATAAAAAAGTATTTTTTTTTCATTTTAACAAAAAAAAAAAGAAGAAAATTTCTTTTCATGTAGAAAAAGTATTTTTTTCTCATTTCAATAAAAAAGTATTTCTTTTTCATGGTGTAATTTTTTTTTTCATTTCAACAAAATGAGTATTTTCTTTTCATCATTTATTTTGAAAAAATGAGTTTTTTATTCTCATGTTGTAGAAAGAGTACTTTCTTTTTCAACCAAAACAGGAGTATTTTCTTTTTTAATTATGAAGCACAAATTTCAACATTATTTTTGCGTAAAAAAGTAAAACAACACATTAGTTCCTTTGGGTTTGTGTGAATTTTTAGAGACTTAGGGGGAGGGGGAGGGGAATGAGGAGAGTAGCATAAAAAAATATTTTCTAATCTCTAACTAAATACAAAAAATATTTTTCACTCACCAACGAAATAAAAAAAATAAGTGAAAAACCACTCATTTTCCATGAAAAATATTTTCCTTCGTGCCAAATACACCCTTAATGTTTGAGTTGATAATAAATCAGTTATGGAACTCTCTCCTAATAAATCGTTTCTTGTATCTAGCAAAATTATTTCACCACCTTGTTTTTATTTTTTTGCATTTACAACATAGCATTTTTTCGTTGTTGTTGTTGATGTTGAGTTTTCCATTATTCTTCATAATCTGCTTTAACATTCACCTATGTTAATTTTCCACCAAAATATCTAACTTCATTTTTAAAGTGTTTTTTGTTTCAGAGTTTTGACAGATTACGGAGCTACCCAGCTTCTCTTAATGCCAAGTACTAGAAAAAATCCAGTAATTCTCAAAGTGCTCGATTTATCCTTTTTCTTTTCTTTTCTTTTCTTTTTGGACTTCTTAATTGCTCCTATGATTTAAAATGGAAAAGACGCTTGATTGTTATAATTATCAAAGAAAATGTTGGTCATAAGCTTACAGAGTTTCCTTTTACACCTAAACGAAGAATTTGGAGAATAGACTTTCGGATCGACCAAAAAACAAAAAGATAAAAAGCAGAGTCCAAACTCATATGACATTAATGTTAGGGATATAGTAGATATGTCCTACATCCAATCTCATATTTGATGATTTGAACATATTTTTGTGAATGTTATTTGATATAAAAATATGTGGCATTTGATATTCTTTTATATATCATAGTTATTATTAATTATTTGATTAATTTGATAAGGTCCTTGATTAAATTTTTGAGATTTGTCATCGTGATAGAAATCATGATAATGAGAGCAAAGTCTATTACAATTTAATCTAAATTTGTTCTTGATCATAGGATTATTAATTTGGACATTAGTAATCCGGTTAGATCAATATTTATGTGATTGTCTTTATTATATAAAGATTAGTTGATCTCATTAACTAAATCACATAGATAGATGATGCATATAAAGATATGATCATTGANAAAATTCAACACAATATTTCGTTCAATTTGTTCGCGGGTTTCATTGATCAAAGAGTTGATAGCAAGGNCTTGAAGAATGTGATGTAAGAGTTTCCTTTGACCTGAGATCGTCATAGTAATTGACAAGTTATTTATTGTGCTTTGATACCAGACACCTATGGCGCCATGGCGATAGTTGAAAGGATATTGGGTACAATTAAATACTTGTAGAATTCGTGATTGATCAAAATGGAATCTGTCAACTCTTGGTAATGAGTTTAAGCTCTATGTTGTCATGAATTATAAATGACCAAACTAAGACCTTGGCCAGGGCAATTGAATGAAAGAAGAAATGAGTTTCTTAGGTCATTCAATGGTCGATTATATCTGACATGAACACATAGTTGATCGCCTATTAGGATTTGACAGTTGAAACATATCCTAGGGTGATCCAGAGCTATAAGGACAGGAGGAATTACTACATTATTCTTCTACTGGTTCGTGAGAGTAAATTGTATACTTCATTCTATCCGGTCGTTAAGGAGTGTTGCTAGATGCCACCCTTGATTAGTATATTGATGTGATCAATTTACTATCGGTTTAGTATTGAACCTATGGGGTCGCACACTAACGAGTGTTCTGATCTTTGCCAAAGGATTAGTTACTTTATTATTTGTTAATTAAATTAAAGAATTTAATTAGTTAAATAAATTTAAATTATTAGTCCAAATGAAATATTATTATATTCTTTGCTAGCACAGAGGATATAATTAATATTGTGAACAAATTGAAGTTTTCTATTTGGAGTAGAAAATTAAATTATCTCTTGGTTGAAATATATATAATTAATTTACCAATTTGGAATTGGATAGGAAAAGTCCATAAAAGGACATTTGAATTGAATCCAACCAACTCCAACATTAAGTTGGATTGGTTCGGCAGTCACGTTTTAACTGATTTCCGAATTTCCATACAATTCGATTGTGATTTATTTTGGAATAAATTTTTACCCTAAATAAATTATTACCTCAATCAAATAGGAAAAGGGTTTATAGGTGATGCTATATAAAGGGTGATGGAACAAAAATTTGCACAATTTTTTTTCTTGAGAAGAAAACCCACTTTGTGAAAGTGAGAGTGCAATACAAAGCCAAGAGAGAAAATACAATTGCAAGAAAAGTGTTTCTTGTTCTTCTAACATTGAGTTGAGATTTTTGTAAGAGAGAAAATACAATTGCAAGAAAAGTGTTTCTTGTTCTTCTAACATTGAGTTGAGATTTTTGTAAAAAATTCAACACAATATTTCGTTCAATTTGTTCGCGGGTTTCATTGATCAAAGAGTTGATAGCAAGGATCAGTCTCGGTGTGGATACGCATAGAGTCTTCGCATTACGAAGAAATTTTGAAACGAGACTCTCTTCACCAGGTACGTCTTAGATCTGATCTATTGACATGTAAATAAATTTTAAACATAAAAAGATCTGTCTAGGATTGTTATTGTCTTCCGCTGCGTGTTACGAACACCTATACGCAATCCTTCAATGAAAACAGTAAGCTTGTTAGCAATTTAAGAAAAATTCACCAGTTACCCTATAAAAGAGATACGGAAAAGGGCTAAAAATATCCCTATGGTATTCTAAATGGTTTACTATCACACTCAGTCCATCTGTTAGTCTGAAAATACATTGAACATTATCTTGTGATCTGAAATTACCCCGCGACTGACGGACCATCTATGGTCCCTTCTTTTAATGTGCTGTCACGATTTGATTGGGACACGTGACTATCTGGTTCATATCAATTATAACGCGCCCCAAATATCGACCCTCCTCATTTTTTCGGACCAACCCATAGTAAAAACATTATATTTCTACTTAAATAGGGGTATTTTGTGGTGACCGTGTAACCCCACAAAAACTAGCAAATAACCATCTTTAAAGAAGAGTTAAATGTTCCTCCTCGAAAAAAAAGGCTTCTTGCCAAACTAACTACTCCTATATGCTAATATTAATCAAGACATTTTTCAGAAGAAAATCTTTACCATGGAGCAGCTGCCACTGCCTTGAATTTGAGCTCAAAACTCGTGTCTTTTACTGCTAAAGCCTCAATTTCAGAGTCTAACTTCTTTATCACTTGTTTCACTTTCAAAACCTTTTCTTCAAGATTCCTTATTTCCTCTTTTGCTTCAGCTAGTTCAACTCTCTTTGCCACAAGAATATTATCTGAATCACATGACATGCTAATAAGTTTACTAAGCCTTGCACGTAAAAATCCAACTTTCATGCCTAAACACTCGAACCCTTTCAATGTGTTGTCCCAAGTATCAAGATAATCACGAGGGATCGAAATCTTGGAAGCTCTAATGGCATCAGCTATGTTCACAGTCTCAGTGATCATTCCAGCAGCTAGCTTGCAATTTAGTCCACCAAGTAAATGGTCGTGGAGAAATGACTTCTGAGTGCAGCAAAGATCGTAGTATTTGGTCCGAATGTGTGCTGGAATCTCAGCGTCTATGATCAATCCATCCACAAGAATGTTAAAACCAGAAAAGTCATTCACATCTTTGAATTCTAGTCTCGATTCTGAAAATCTAATGCTTAAAACTTCAGAGCCATTATCGCTATCATTCCCACATTGCTCTGATGCACGGCCTTGGTCTGATTCGGGTATCAATATGGCTTCTTCTTGTTTGACATCTTGGTGAGTATCTAGGACCGAAGGCTCCAAGTACTTTCGCTCTTTTGCTTCACAAATTTTCATGTCCTCAATTTGATCTATGTGAAATAACCAGCATATAGGAAGGTTTCGAAGTCAAGTTCAAGTAGTAAAGATTGATTTTGATGAAAAATTAAAACTAGTGTTTGTAAATATACCTGACTTGACTGGTCTAGCATGAAGATCCAGATTTAGTAGACTAATAGCACCATCAATTTCTGTCAAGTTGTTTTCTCTTATTATATATACCTAAAAAAAAAGGGAAACGACAATTAGGCCATTGCTTTACTGTCCCTTTGAGGACATTATAAAATTGGAACATACTAAATAATATTAGCATTCTCACTATAGATAAAAAGGTAGTCCAATGCACCAACTCCTACTATGCGCAGGGCAGGGTCTGGAAAAAGACCGAACCATATTGTGTCTATTGTACGCAAACAAACCGAAAAATGATTCTTGCTTTACCTGCGACAAAATGAACATAATTTTAAGCACTCTATAAAGGGTTACCTTAAATTTGCAGGGTTGAATCAGTTGAAAGACCAAGACATCCCCTTCAAGCAGGTTGTGATCAATGGAGAAACCTCTCCAACCACCACTCAATCCGTTCTTATCAATAAGGTACTTGGTAGCAAATTCTTTTTCATTTTCGTCCACCAAAACGACGGTAGCATCATGCTTTGGCAAATAAGAGTTGCAAAATTTTCTTGGGAAACTCTGTTGTACCAAAATATCAAAAGAAAGACTATATGACCAAGAAAAGTTTCAATTTGCTCTAATTCTATCAAGATAAAAAATTTGACTTACCAACCAAAATCCACGTCTAACATGTGAATGGAGCATATACTTGACAAAACTAGGAAATTGAGAGGGCAAATTAGCTTGAACTTCTTCTGCCCGCAGCATGGTAGATGAGTTTGCATCAACAGTACTAGTTTTGTATGTCTTCTTTTCAGGACTAGCAAAATCAAGAATGAAAAAGCATTATCAGAAAAAATAGCAAATCCAGGAAATCTAATATATAAACCATTATTCATTTTCTCCACTGACCATATTTGAAGCTTCTTAGTGTCTCCATTTTTCACCTATTCATGTATTTGTCAAGTACATTCATTAGTTTTTGAACTGACTATCACCTAAAAGGATACTTTTTTTTTTATCAGCACAAGGAGTAGAAAATGATTCTCACCTTGTTGGTTTTACTTGGACCCAAAGCCCTTTTCCTGACGAGTTTTTCCTTGATTTCTAGTGCCCTTTTCTGATTAAGCCATTGAATGGGAGAAGAATATAACATGGGGCCCTCATTATAAGCAAAAGACTATGCTAATATTCAGAAAGAAAGACAAAAAGTTGAAACTTGAAAGAAAAAAAATAAGAGAAAGAGAGAACCTTTGAGGAAGAAAGGAGAGGGCTTTTCTTGGAGGAATTCATAGCTGAGATTGCCATTTCTGTTAGTAAGTGTATGCTCCAAGACTTCAGAAAATGTGGAGTACTATATTTTTTGTTTGTTTGTGATGAAGGAAAGTAGAGAAAGGAGACAGTGGTGAATGAAGAAAATAGACCGTTTGGTTAAAATATTTTTATCTTTTTCTTTTTTCTAGAAAAAGAACTTGAAGTGGAGATGTGACATTGTTGTTTGGGAGAATTAAGAGGCAAAATTGGAGCCAAATTTTGAATCACTTGCAGAGTACTAGTTATGGAATGATTTGTTTCCTTTTCCCAATGCTATTTAAAAAGAAATGCTATTTTCACCCTTTCATAATTCATATTCCTGGCCAATACTTGTTTGGGGAAAATGGTATTCAAAAAAGTTTCAAACCTTTTTATATTATATGATTTGGTATGCTAAGAAGGAAAATTGTTAATACTGCTGTGAGAAAGTCACTTTTGTTGGACCTATTTTTTTTAGTTTCTATAGCTAGTGGCGAACTTGCTATGGGGGAAAACGTGTTAGTAGCTTATTTGCCGCGGGAGGGCTAGAATTCCGAAGGTACAATATATACTTAGTGAGCGTGTATTAGTTTTTGGAGAGCATTATCCCTATTAGAAAAAACCATCTTTTGCCGCAACCAATGAGATGTGACGTAAAGGGCAGCCCGATGCATTAAGCTTCTGCTATGTGTCGGGTTCGGGGAAGGCCAAAGCACAAGGGTCTATCGTATGCAGCCTTGCCCTGCATTTTTACACAAGGCTATTCCCACGGCTCGAACCCGTAACCTCCTGATCACATGGCAGCAACTTTACCGATGAGATATGACATGGAAAAAAGAAATGTATACACTTGTAGGTCTTCATGGCTCATTCCACATATTAGTCAGAGACTGTCTCAGAAATACAGTAAACTACTAAGCTTGTTAGCAATTTACAAAAAATTTACTCCCCAATTACACTAGAAAAGGGATATAATTGACCGTGTAACCTCACAAAAATTTATAGAGACCCATCCTTCAAAACTTGAGAATTCCTGCTAGGAACCTAAAAGGCTTCTTGCCAAACTAACTACTATGTGTTAATATTTGGACATTTTTTTCAGAAAAATCATGACCATGGAGCAGCTGCCACAGCCTTGAACTTGAGCTCGAAACTGGCATCTTTAGTTGTTAAGTCAATTTCAGAATCTAGATTCTTTATCACCTGTTTCACCTTCAAAAGCTTAGTTTCAAGATTCCTCATTTCCTCTTTGGCTTCAACTAGTTCATTTCTCTTTGATTCAAGAATCTGTTGTGGTTCACTTGATAGGCTAACAAGCTTATTAAGCCTAGCACGTAAAAATCCAACTTCCATGCCTAAACACTCGAACCCTTTCAATGTATTGTCCCAAGCTTCAAGATAATCACGAGAGGTCGAAATGTTGGAAGCTCTAATGGCATCAGCAATGTTCACAGTTTCTGTGATCATTCCAGCAGCTAGCTTGCAGTTCAGGCCACCAAGTAAATGGTCATGGAGAAATGACTTCTGAGTGCAGCAAAGATCGTAGTATTTGTTCCGAATGTGAGCAGGAATCTCAGAGTCTACGATCAAACCATCTACAAGAATGTTAAAACCAGAAAAGTCCTTCACATCTTTGAATTCAAGTCTTGATTCTGAAAATCTAATGCCTAAAACTTCAGAGCTAATGTCATTATCATTTCCACATTGATCTGATGCAGCGCCTTGGTCCAAATTTTGTACCAGTATGGCTTCTTCATTTTCGTCATCTTGATCAATATCTATAACAGAAGGCTCCAAGTATTTCTCCTCTTTTGCTTCACAGATGTTCATCCCTTCATCTTGATCTATTGAGAAAATATCAACAAATAGAAAGTTTAAGTTGCAAATATTTATTGTGATGGATATTAAAACTATAGTCTATGGCTTTACCAGATTTGATTGGTCTAGCACGAAAATCCAGTTTTAGAAGACTAATAGCACCATCAATTTCTTGTTTGTCATCTTGATGAGTATCTAGGACAGGAGGCTCCAAGTACCTCAGCTCTTTTGCTTCACAAATTTTCATGTCCTCAATTTGATCTATGTGAAATAATATGAGCAAATAGAAAGTCAGGAAACAAAAATGGTTAAGTTCAAGTAGTACATAACATATTGGTAGTGATACAAATCAAAACTAGTGCTTGTGAGTTGTGACTATACCAGATTCGATTGGCCTAGCATGAAAATCCAGATTCAGAAGGCTAATAGCACCATCAAGTTCTGTCAAGGTACTTTCTCTTATCATATACACCTAAAACAGGGGAAATAATTATTAGATCATCGCTTAAGACATTGAATTAGTACTCAACAAACGAGATCTTGAATCAATAAAAAGCAAACTCTGTCAATCGGACGTCTTCAGAAGTACATAATTTCATACCATCTCTTTTGGGACATTAGATAAACTTGGAAAGTACAGATAATATTAGCATCCGCCTCTTTAGAATGACATGCGCAAACCAGGATTCAAGCACTTGTGTTACCTTAAATTTGCATGGTTGGATCAATTGAAAGATCAAGACATCCCCGTGAAGCAGGCTGTGGGCAATGGAGAAACCCCTCCAACCACCACTTAATCCAGTTTTATCAACAAGGTACTTGGTAGCATATTCTTGTTCATCCTCATCCACCAAAACAACAGTGTCGTCATGCTTTGGCAAATGGCGGTCACAAAATTTCTTTGGAAAACCCTGTTGTATCAAAGTACCACAAAGTAAAACCATAGCATCCAGTGGTGAATCTAGACTAGAGCTAGTTGGGTCGACAGAACCTACTGCTTCTATATCAACAACAACAACAAACTCAGTGTAATCCCACAAGTGGGGACTGGGGAGGGTAGTGTGTACGCAGACCTGCAGACCTTACCCTACCTTGTGAAGGGAGAGAGGCTGTTTCCGATAGACCCTCGGATCAAGGAACAGTGACAAGGAAAGGTACATATATGCATGCAAAAAAGATATCAGCACATATATAAAAAGTAAAACTTTAGCTGACTCTAAATCTTGAATTCGTCACTAATATTATCAACATTAGTTCCAATTTAGTTCTAATTCCATTAATAAAATATTTGACTTACCAACCAAAATCCACCAGTGACATGTGAAGGGAGCATAAACTTGGCAAAACTAGGAAATTGAGAGGGCAAATTTGCTTGCACTTCTTCTGCCCGCAGCATAGCAGATGAGTTTGCGTCAACAGTACTAGGTTTATTTGCCTTTTTTTCATGGCTAATAAAATCAAGAATCAAAAGCATTATTAGAAAGATAACAAAACCATGAAATTTATTAAAAATAAGTTTTGCATTTTTTTTCCAACTGACCATAGTTGGACCTTCTTATTATCTCCATTTTCCCTCTGCTCAAGAAATATTCAAGTACATTCATTAGCTTAAAAGTGGTTGTCACTTTAAAAAGATGAAGGAAAAACTAACATAAAAGGGTACTTCAGGTCACGGTTCGAGCTATGTAAACAACTTATTGCGGAAATGCACGGTAAGACGGCTTACAATAGCCCTATGGTCGAATAGTGGAAGCTTAGTGCTGCCCTTTAATCAACACAGAGTAGAAAATGGTTCTCACCTTATAGGTTTGACTTGGACCCAAGACCCTTTTCCTTAGGAGCTTTTTCTTGATTTCTAGTGCCTTTTTCTGGTTGAGTCATAGAATGGGAGATTAAATAATTACGAGGGCACCATTTTAAGCAAAAGAACAGGCAGTAATATTCAGAAGAAAGTATATAAAACTTGAAATGAAAAAAATAAGACAAGGAATGAACCTTAAAAGAAGAAAGAAGAGGGCTTTTTTTGGAGGAATACATAGCTGAGATGGCCATTTTGTTTACAAGTGTTTGCTCAAACCTTGAGAAAAATGTGCCACGTTTTGTTTGTCATGGAGGAAACTAGAGAAAAAGGAGATAGTGGTGAAGAAATAGACCGTTTGGTTAAATCTTTTTCGCATGCGTTTGGACATAAAAGTTACTTATAATTTTTGAAAAAATAATATTTGCAGTTAAGTTAAAAAATGGTACTATTTTAAATTTAAAATTATATTTGGACATATATTTCACTTGAAAAAGTATATTTTTTTGAAAACTTATTTTTAAAATCTTTTAAAAAATTTATAAAATTCATGGACAAACACATTTTAGAAAACAAAAATTTAAAAAAAAGGAAAAAAAAATATGGACAAACCAAGCCTTAATTTATCTAGAAAAGAAATTGAATAGTGGAGAAATGACACGGCTGTTTGGGAGAAGTGAGAATAGGCCTAATTGGAGCCAAAATTTGAATGGGTTCACATAGTACTATAGCTGGTACACACTAGGTATGGAATGATTTGTTTCCTTTTTCCAATGTGTTTTTCACCCTTTCCTATTCCTACTTCCTATTGGGCGTTTGGACATAAGAATTATCAAATTCAGGAAAAAAAAGTTAATTTTTTTAAAGTGAAAATAGTATTTGAAAGTTAAAGAGCCCGTTTGGACATAAGAATATTTTTTTTACTTTTTTTCAAAATCAACGTTTGTTCATGAAATTTTCAATTTTCATTTGAAGATGCATTTTGAAAAATTTTCGAAAATTTTAAAAACTCCAAAAAACTATTTTTCAAAATTTTCACTAAAATCACTTACAAAACTTCAAAAACAACCCAAAATTCTATTCATGTCCAAATACAACTCTAAATTTCAAACATCATTTTCACTTGAATTTTTTTTTCACCCTTTTTTGGAATTTTACAATTCTTATGTCCAAACGCCCACTTAGAGTTGTGTTTGGACATGAATACATTTTGGGCTGTTTTTGAATGAAAATTTGAAAAACAGTTTTTTGGAGTTTTTTTCATCTGAAAATTCATCTTCAAGTGAAAATTAAAATTTCATGGGAGAAAAAGGCAACGCGTAAGGTTGAAACATTTTTTTTATTCATACATATTGTTTTTTTATTATTCGAAGAAGGAAAGCTGATAATCACTAGGAGAAAATAACATTTTTTTCGACTTTCTAGTTTCCAATTTTTCAGTTTTTGGAGAGCATTGTCACAAGTCACAACTTGTGACCCTTCACTTTTTTGATTTTACTAACTTAACATAGGGAATTTGTAATACCTTGAGTTATAATCACGAGACAATTATGTACATATACACATTTTTTGCCGGAGATTTGGTTCATTTTATTGAAGACTAGATATATGATGTAAAATTTAAAATGTGTTTAGATTAATAAAAATTATTTTACGTAATACTCTTGACCTTAAACAACACTTATAATTTTGAAGAATCACGAATAAATAACATTTTACTCAATGAAGGATGTCACTGTTTTACCAAAAAAGTGTTAAACCTTTTCTTAAAACGAATTAACAAGAAAATAGGGGGTGAATCCTAGCAAAATATATTAACTACTAGATCTGAAGACTTAGTGTATTAATGATGTAGGATCGTGTCCGATAATAATGGATAACGATTAAGAGTACTTAATGATTATCAATGAATACAACAAAGAAAGCATGCGATGAATGTAGATAATGACAATAAATGTAATAAGAAAGAATTTGTCGTTCAAATGTTAGATGACTTGTATGATTCTCCTGCCTGACAACACGTGGGATAATATAAAATGAAGGTGGACCACTAGAGATCCTCGGATCTTGTGAGTAAATGATATATGTTGAACAACAGAATTAATGGACAAAACAAGCTTTGTATATTCTCTGTAATCAACCTTCTATATGTTATAAACCCAAAAGTGAAGATCCCTTTTTTGTTCTTTATCTCTTCCTATTTATAGGGGATATTCCTAAAAAATCCTAAAAAGTACAACAGAAAGAATATCCACTAGAATATTCCTTCTTTCTATTCTAATCTTATCCTACCGTTGCTTCCGTACATTCTTTACTTGACCTCGGCACTAATCCTTCTTAAGGCGACTCCTCGCCGTTGTGCTGTAGTCGGCTTAATCCTCGACTACGTCCATTTGCAGTTACTATGTCCAAATTTTGACCAATACAGTCACTATGAGCAATTATAACATTTTATTGGAATTGATCTACACTTATACCTTAAATTTAATAATTTTGTAAAAAACAAAATCGTGTGATAGCATTACACCAAAGTGAAGAAATGGTATTATAATTGTCACCGTATCACGTAAATACAAATCTAATAAGAAATATATGTCTTCCCAAAAGTTGGTCAACTAAATATAGTGAAGAGTTTATGTTTCAGTTAAAGTAATGAAAGCAGTGGAAAGCTTCTGTCGAAGTTACCTATGGACCGGTAATAATATCATAACAAAGAAAGTCTTGATCAATTGGGAAAGAGTATGTTATCCAAAAAGCAGTGGTGGATGGAATATCATAAACATGAGATTGTGGAATAAAGCTGCCATTAGTAGCTATACTGGAATGTGACACAGAAAGAACATATAATGTGGATAAAATGGATACATGCATACTATATAAAAGGGCGGCAGATGGAGCAAGTTAAACTACCAAAGCAGGCAAGCTGGATGGCGAGAAAAATACTTGAAGCAAAGCAGAACATAGAAGATAATAGTGTGCAAATATGTAAGGGAAAATGGATCATCAAATAGATATATCTGCAGCTACTGGATGACCAGCCTAGAGTCTTATGGAGATGTTTGATGTTTGGTAATGTTGCAAGGCCAAAAGCAAAGTTCACTCTTTGGTTACACATGCAAAACAGACTACTCACTCACTGTTGACAGGCTGAAGAAATGGGGGATTCAGGGAGAGGACAGATGCAGTCTATGCCAGAAAGAAGAGGAAACTCGAGATCACATATATGTGGAGTGTACATACACAAAAGAGGTAATAAGGAAAGTGATGAATTGAGCACAAAAACAAAGCTTTCCAAGAACTAACTGGGAACAACATATGCATATGCAAGAAGTGATTAAGAGAGCTAAAGGTAGATCCAAAGAAGCACAATTATTCAAGATGTTATACACGGAAATGGTACATAATATATGGATAGAGAGAAATCGGAGAATTTTTGAGAAAAGGAATACGAGCTGGGAGAAGATAGCAAAGGAGATAGTGTGTGTTTGTTGTACACGAGCTCCTCCTAGTATAGTTGATATAGTGCAAAGTTATAGATTTTGAATAGATAATATGAAGAGTACGACTAATGTACATATAATAGTTAAGCTGTGATAGCTAACTATGGTGTTATGTAAAAAATTACTGGTGATTAATACAAAAGCGAATTACCAAAAACAAAGAAGAAGAAGAGTTTTTATTTATCCTATCAGATTAAATTGACCAACAATAACATGTAACTCCCTATATCAAGCCTAATATAGTAACTTGGAAAATAGGCGACAACTTGCTATAACTTAAATTACACGTGTGTAAAAAAAAATTACGTTGTCATTGTATAACCTTAAACTCTATAGTTATCGGCCGCATTCACGGCCGAAATACCATATCTGCCCCTGGTCAAGGTTAAGCTGGTTCAATGGAGTACCCACCCGAAAAAGAACTGATCTCTAGCTGCTCAAGTTCGGTTGGCCTTGTGTTCCAGGATGAGAAACCATTTGAAGGGTCATTAATTTTGCTTGCTTTTACAGCATCCACAATGCTAAGATTTTCGTAGGTAAGTCCTGCAGCTAATAAAAAATGAGATAGTTGAGAAGATGCTGATCTATCGGAAAATACTTACTTACACCTAGTGTAATTATACAATTTAACATTTAGAGTCACAAATTAAGGTGAGAATATAGATCATTTAACCATAAGGAAATGATAAAGTTTATATGTGCATCTGTTGATTTGGTGTAAACAACTAGTGTGAACATGTTTTTCCAAATCTACGTCTGAGTTATTGACCAGGAGGTCATGGTTCAAGCCGTAGAAACAGCCTCTTGCAGAAATATAGGGAAAGACTGCAATAGACCCTTGTGATCCGACCCTTCCCTGGACCCGCACATAGCAGGAGCCTTAGTGCACTGGGCTGCCCTTTTTTTACCTCTAAGTTATTGAAACAGGCTTAGTTAGTAGTCCCCTGAAGTATAGTGCAAGAGGAAAGTTGCCCATTTTCAGGTCATTTTGGAGCAAATTATTGAGGTAAAATGAGAAGTAATCAGATGCAGGAAAATGTATCAAGTTTGGAACCTTTTGAAGGCAGGTCAAGATCCTTGAACATATTCCTTGGATGACTATGTTTGTGTAACATGTTTTCTTCTGCAGAATAATCATCCTCTTCTCGTTGTGAGGAAAATCTTTGACGCTTGATTCCACCTTGTTTCGTACTTCTATTATCCTGCATTTGGTGCATTGCTCTTCCACACATCAACATAAGATTAATAGCGCAAAACCGACAGAATCATACAAGGAATTATAAATATCTTCTCAGGGTAGCTGAAGTGCTGAACTAACCAGGATTAGCTTGTTTTTGGTGGGCATCTAAATGCAGAAGAACAAGGGCGGCATCGACTTCAGCCAAATAATTTGCCCTGACTATATATACCTGCACAATGTGGACAACAATGAACGAGAAACTTCAAAAACATACTGGAGTAGTATTTAACTTATATACGCTGACATCTTGAACAATTTTTACTAAAAAAAGGGCAGCCCCGTGCACTAAGCTCGCACTATGTGCGGGGTCTAGGGAAGGGCCAGACCACAACAGTAACTTTACCAGTTACGCCAAGGTTCTCCTTCCGTGGATAACTTTTACTATTAGTGTAATTTAACATGTTGTAGCACGTTGCTTTATTTCTCATATTACTAATTTCCACTTGTGATGAACAACCGGCCTCATATTGTAAATTCTTTTATACTGTCAGTACATAAAAAGTTAAACTTAAAAACATATTAGAAAAAAATTTACAGAAACATTTATATTTTAGCTCCAATTCTCAATAACTCTTAACTCATCATTTACAGAAATCTCAGCTGAAAGTAATATGCAGTTCTCTCAATTCACTTAACTCCTATTCATTCACAAACCATCCAATTAATTGAAATAGCAGCATGCACTAAATTGCTAGAGAATACAGAGGGAAGATTCTTAGTTTGTTCTGACCTTCAATTTGCAGAATCTGAACAACTGAAAAACTAAAACATCTCCCTCCACTAAGTTATGTGCTAGTGAAAAACCCCGCCATCCGCCGCTAAGTCCATTCCTCTCAGCAAGATATTTTGTTTTGTACTCTTCTTGGCTTTCATCTACCAAAGTTACAGTTGTATCATGCCGTGGCAAATGTAACTGGCAGAAAAACCTTGGAAGAGACTGCGACAAGAAAAAATGAAGCAAATCAATCACTTAGCATATTCAAATACAGTAACAAAATACTAATTATACTATCAGGTTACCAGGTTACAACAACAACAACAACCCACTAGAATCCCACTAGTGGGGTCTGGACAGGATAGAATGTACGCAGACCTTACCCCTATCCCGAAGGGATAGAGAGGCTGTTTCCGGGAGACCCTCGGCTCAGAGAAAATAGATCCGTAACCACAACAGAAACCAGAAAAATAGTATCAGCATCGTAAAATACAACAAATAAATGGAAAGGCCAAAATGTGAAAGACAGCACCAACAACAACAAAACAAAAAAAAAATAAAAAATTATGAAACACAACAAAAATCGCTAGTAGTCCTAGACAAAACACTATCAGACTAGCCGGTGCAGCGAGGAGAAACGCTTGACTACCCTCTAACCTACAACCCTAATGCTTGACCTCCACACCTTCCAATCAAAGGCCATGTCCTTGGAAATTATACTATCAGGTTACTTAAAGCTAATTGCAGGTAATTTTTATAACAAGTATGGACTGATAACCAGCAAAACATGGTAATGTAATGCTCCACTCATCGTGTAAAAGTTCTTTATATTGCAGGTATATATGAGTGAAACTCTGATTCAAATTTACGAAATTCTTGAATTTGAGTATAGATTGGTGCTTACTAGCCAGAAACCAGCAGTAACATTTGATCTGATCATTGGCTTCATAAAGCTTGGATATTTAGTGCTCAATCTTGATTGAACCTCCTCTGCTCGATATTTGGCAGATGATGCCAAATCAAATCGACCATAAAGATTTTGCATCATTGCCATTTTATTTTTACAGCTATAACAACATCATATAAGCAACTCAGTAAATTTAAAATCAAAGTTCAGGTTGAGGAGAGAAAGTATAAGAGGTTGAATAACGAACCTTCGACGTTTCTTGGGCTTCTTACAAAAAACCTGAAAATGAATTTACAGCGCTAAGATGTACAAAAAAGGAATACATGAAATATGAAAGGATCACATGCATACAGTTACAGTGTTTCCATTTTAAAAATATTTCTCCCATTCAACAGATAGCTGAAACGGAAAGTATCAGCATTTTGACATTTTGTTTATCTCAAAAAGGATTTATCTTAACATCTTCCAATTATTTGCCTGAGAGTCTGATTATCCCTAATGTTAAAGGGATTCAAATTTTTTTACCCTATTTCCACAGAATAATTTTCAGGCTAAGGGGATCCAATCCAACCCCTTCCATTCACTAACGGCCCAGGCCCAGCTGCCAAAGTATTGTTTGCTCTGGTCCAACCTTTGGCCTTCACGGCTTTTTCCCCTTTGATGGGAGCCTTGGCGTAACTAGTAAAGTTGCTGCCATGTGACTAGCAAGTAGCAGGTCACATGTTCGAGCCATGGAAACTGCCTCTTGCAGAAATGTAAGGTAAGACTGCGTACAATTAGGTTCTTACAGTCTTGTCCCATGCACTCGATATTTATGGCCCCTAACTTTCCTCTCCTATTCAGATATGAGATTTTCGTAACGTAAGCCTCGTGGGGAACCTCTTCGATTCAACTGTCAATCCATAGGCTACTACAATCCCGAAGGCCCGGACACAAAAAAAAAAAAAAAAAAAAAANATGAGGCAGTTGACGAAGAGATGGATCCGATCATGAATCTTACCACTTCATTTCTTTTTGTATCTTCATTTTTAATTTGTAATTTAATTTGAATTTTCTGTATTATTCTTCATTGACATTTGTTATTTGCATGGATATTATGGAAAGAAGTTGAATGATATCAGCCGACTTTAAAAATATATGAATCCAATTATCTTTTTTTCTAAAAAGCCATTTTGTTCAGAATATCAAAATGTGACATACAAAATGACACTGCATAGAATGTATATTTTTGTATATATATNTTGCTTATGCGTTCCTTGGAGTCTCAATGACATGTCCTTCATTACCTAAGGCTTTTGCATGACATCATGAGAAGGTCCTGTGATCTGCCCATAAATAAATATATATAAATTAAATGTTTACATATATGAAAATCAGACATTTGTTCTCATTAAAATTAAGATCAAATATTCAAATTTGGGAAGATATATATATATATATATATA